TGAACATGACATGCAAGGATATTAATATTGTGCGAGGAGGCCCAAAAGAGCAGATCTAATATGTGAAGTGAGGGGGAACTGTGAACAGGTGCCACCCACAGGAGCAACACCCCCAAAAAGGGACAAGAGAAGAAAAGGAACAGACCATAAAACCCTATTAATAATGGAAAGGAAAAGAAAGAGCAGTGTCACACCATACTAACCCAAAAGCAAAGAAGCCATGCGAGGAGGGAATGAACTGAGTACAGCAAAAACCCCAACATGTAGGGAAGAAAGAGGAGGTACCCCTCGACAATCACAAAACATAAACAGAACACTGATTAAAGGTAAATGAAACATTAAAGGTATGAGTGACAAAAGGGGAAGAAGAATGGCAAATGCTAGAAAAAATCTGCCTGAAGTTAAACTAAGGTAAAATAGAAAGCCTATAAAAGGGAAGGCTTGTAAGTACCCAAACTCAAAGAGAGATAAAAGGATTAGCACAGAAAACATGAAGATAATATTCTGCAAAGTGTGTCTAGAAATGTGTAAAGGTCTTGCAGATAAAGCAATAGAAGTATGGCATGATAATATCAGGGAGAACTGACAATTTTAAAAAATTGGAAAAATGGGTTTAGCCTTTAGATCCGAACGTGAGCAATAGTGGAAGCAGATATGGCACACCCCAACTCCCAGGGACCAACACATGAATTTAAATTACTGGTATGAAGGATAAATTATAAATGAAAAGAAATTAATGGTAACAAGTATAAAGAAGAGATTAAACAAAAGTAACTGTAAAAAGTATAATGAAAAACAAAGTGAAATTGTCAATGTAGTGAAAAACAAAAAGAAAATGTTATAGGGAATGCATCCCTTATGACGTTGAATTGAAGAAAATCTGGAATCTTAGTTGATATGAACCTGTCCATAAAAGTATGGGAACCGAATAAACTAATTAATGGTAAGAAAGAAATTATAAACTAAATGAAATGAATAGTAAAAAGGATAAAGTATAAACTAAATGAAATGAATGATAATAATTATAAAGTACAGATGAAAAGAAAGTAACTGGAAAAGGATAAACTATAAAGAAAAACGAAATAAGTTAGTCAACATATTAAAATGGGAAGAAAACGGTGTAGGGAATGAATCCTATATGATGTAGTGGTGAAGAAAAACTGGAACCTATGTAGATATTAACCCATCAAAAAAACCACAGATAAACCGATAAATAATACAGTACTGAAGCAGAATCAAACAAGATAGTGTACAGAAATAACAAGGAAACCTAAACTAGAATTGCAGTGAAATCGAAAAAAATTAGACTAGTTAACCCTAATTGAACAGTACAGAACAAAGGATAACCTAAGAACGAAAAGAAAAACGAAACTGAACAATAGATAGCCACAGTACTGGGAGAAGTCTGTGTGGGCCCCAATTCAAGGGTTCCACCCAAACCAAGTGATGAAAAAGATTATTAACACAATGAAATAGAAATAATGATATAAATGTAAGGAAATAACATAGTTAATCTAATGAAAGACATAACATGTTAAGCCTAATCGAATGGTATAGAAAAAACTAATTACTAAGAAAGACTAATTACGAATCATAACATAACTTAGTATCAATTAATCCAAATAAGCAGATGTTATGGAATTCAAATAATTACAGATAATAATAATAATAACAATAAAATTGTAAAACGTTGTTAGGACAGCAGAAGTCACGTGATGCTGGTAACACATAATGAGTATCTAGAAGGTTCCTGAAGGCTCGAGTGTTTGCCAGATGCCCTCTATTTTGTATATATAAGACCGGCAAGAAGTGACAGCATAGATAATTGCAGACAGGCAGGCATTGGACAGTCCACAACTGAAGATACAAGTAAATCAAGCACACCCCTCTACCATGCAGGATGCAATGGCCAGAGCTCTTGAATTTGAATCCTACGTTAAGTCCAACACAGAGGTACCAAAGTTGGTACAGTCATCTAGATTCAAGGCCAGAAAAGGGCAGCTTTCAAAGAAGTTTGAGGGACTTTGCTGGCACTGTAATAAGCTGGGCACATGACTCTGGTAACACGTCATGATATTCTCAAAGGATCGGGGAACATCACGAATAATCCAGTATGTGCTAGGCGCCCTCTATTCCTGTAAATAAGTGCGCCGGATAACGTAAGTCAAATTAATTGGAATTGAATTGCAGACAGGCAGAGATAAAGACGGACAATTGAGTCAAGCGAGGTAGTGACAGTAAGTAAGTACGTGAATCATTGTGAATTATAACATGTGCTTAAAGTGACTGTGGAAATTAAGTGTATTACAAAGTTGAATTGAGAAAGAATAAACTAGTTTTATTTAAGGAAGAACTTGTACCGCTAAAGTTTCATCCGAAAGAAATTATACGGGAAATTAACAAACGACCAGAGGCGTAAC